TTTTCTTCTCACTTTTGTTTCAATTCACTTCCACCTGATTCATTTCTTCTCTGTCTCAAATGCAAATCCACACAGTGCTGTCCAGACCTTCTCACCTCAGCCTTCATTTTTGATCTACCAATAGATCCACCTTCTTAAAAGACACCTTTAGCTTTCCTGTTTAGACACAGGATTGAAGTGGAAAGAAGAGTGAAGTAGGAACAGTGAACTTACACTCTCATCTTGGTCCTTGCCTCAAACTCCTCAAATACTGTGAAAGTCAGTGAAGGTCTTTGGCCTGCAGGTTCCCTACCAATAAACTGAACACATTTGCCCTGATTTTTAGGTCTCTTTCAACTAAAATATTCTTCACATTTTAGTTTTTAAACTTGGGTTTGAACCCAGAAGTTGTGGGGTAAGGTGTATCTCTAGCATTTATTTTGTTGACTGGGTCTCAATAAGTCAGTATCTCAGATTAGGCTCAAACTTGTGACCTGCCTCAGAATTCTAGGATGAAGGACTATAGGCATGCGTACCACATCTGCTCCCTAATTAGAACATTTTTTGCTTATATTTCAGATTCAAATGACATGCAAAATTCTAGCTATGACAATGATTTCAAATTACATAATGATCCTATGAACAATATATAGGAAAAATGTTTTATCAACAAACTGCTTTACTGTACTCTATAAGAGCAAAACTATTCAGCATGTGCCCACCATTGGAGCACCTCACAGCTGCACAAGTGTAGCGGGCAGCTGGCCTCAGCTCTCTCTCATACACCTATCCTCAGCGTGGATGCCAAAGGAAGAGCACTCTGCTCTGTTCACCATTCATTTGTGAGCCAAGGTGTAGCATACGTTTTACTCAAGAGAGCATGACTCTACTAGTTTGATTTTTGCTGAGTAAGGTAAAATAGATGTAAGACCTTTATTCTTCATGCAAAAATTTCGGTGTGAACATTGTTGTGCTTGTGTAATTTTGCTTATCAAAGATAACACTGCAGTGTAACATATGCAGAATGCTTTATCTTTTTTATGTGATAATGAAATTCTCCCTGAAGCCGATTTACTAATTTACAGGACTCCTATGCACATTCCTCTCATATTCTCTTCCTGAATGCTTTTCTTTTTGGGCTTTCTGGAATGCAGTTAGAATGAAAAATGGCACTTAATGAGGAATTTAAAATAAAACCAGCAGACAAAACAATAAAATAACTGATCAATGTAGACAGCTGTTAACTGGCTGAGGAAGATAACGTACAAGAGCTTTTAAATGGCAGCTACCTGGGGTTGCCTGGGTCTATCTTGACCTTCTCCCTCCTCATACTAAGTGGGTGCCAGCAACTGTAAATCCCACCCATCTAACATCAACATTAATTTCCCAAACTTTTCTTAAATTATCTGTATTTAAACTCTGGCTTAGGCTGTGAATTAACCTTTAAATTTTTTTAACCTATGATTTATCTCCTTCAAATCTGTGCTTCATGCTGTAGCCTGAGTGATCCTTTGAGAAGAAGATCATCCGCTTGTGGCTCTCCCTTCTGGAGTTCCTTATGAGTCCCCAGTGCTCAGAGAATCACATCTCAGTGTCCTCCGCAAGGTGTGCTCTTTCTTGATCTCATATCCTTGCACAAAGATTCACTTTGCCTGGAACATCCTGCCTTTATTCTCTATTTAATGATTCTGGTTGATCTTTAGAGAATTACCAAAGACCTTACTTTTCTCTAAAAGCAGTTCCTGAGTCCACTCAGGACAAACTGAGAGATTCTCTATACTGTCTCAACCGCCTTCCTTACACACTGCTTTCTATTTGCATGTCTGTGTTCTCCCCTTAGATTATGAAGGGGAGATTTTGGCTCTGTCTTATCTGGCATAGGACCTAGAACATTAATTACCCAAAATATTTATTGAGAAGTTACAAAGTAGCAGTTGCCATTCTAAGTGGAGGGGATCTTGTAGAACATGGTGGTGTCAAGTGGAAATCTCTCTCTCTGTGAAATTTACCTGTGTAATGACTAAATAAATTACATATTGTGCTAAGAAATGGTAAGTTCTGTAATAGAAATGTGAAGATACTGACAATGCTGATGAGTAGAAGAAGATACAACTTACATGTAATGGTCACATATGCCTCTTAATTCCCACTGAGCATGAACTTGAATCCAGTAAAGGAATGATTCATGCAGATACCAGGGGGCAGAGGATGCCAAACAGAAAGCAATACTTGGAGAAGAGATTGAAAAGTGGTGTACTAGGTGACTTCAAAGGACAGAGAAGATGCTACTGGACTAGAAAATACCAAAGACCAATAGAGAAGAGTAGACCATGGTCCCAGGATAATGGCAGACCTAGGTTTGCTAAGGCTTTCAGACTATTGTAAATTCTTGGCATTTCCTATGTTTTAAAAAATGGACCAACTGGAAGGTCTTTAAACAGGACGTGGATAGGTAAGAAATGGTCTATCAAAAGCTTCCCTTTGTGTAAGGACCAACGTACTGTTGTCACTTATATCTGCAAGAGTGAAGTTTATCAATATGGCTAGGCTCTCCAGTTTATCAAAATGGTGATAAATGGAGACAAAGTCATGTTTCATATCAATCATGAGTTTGAATGTTACAAACTTTGCGAATTGTGGTTAGTTACCTGAACTTTCTAATCTTGCTTGTGAGTTTGGAAAACAGGATAAGTTTTATGAAAGATCAAATGAATGTATTTGCATAAAGAACAAACATAAAGACCAAGAGATAACATAAAATCCAACCACCTCAATAGACAAAACACATGACAATACCCTTGCTTTTATCCAAAATGGATTAACAAGGAGGGGACTTATTCTCCAAATTATGTAAAGTAAATAAACAACAACAAACAAGCACAAGCACACAAACAGAATATAGTAAACAACAGTTCTCAAGACACTAGATATTAGGACAGGGATCCCTGAGAAACACAAAAGAAATCTAACAAACCCCATCATTTCCACAGCTTCTCCTGTGGGGAAAACTCTCAGACCATGATGCAAAATTAAGCAAGCCAGACACAAATGAATTGAGAAAGTAAAACCTGGAATAATAAAGTACCTCCCCGGCCTTCTTTCTACTGGGTCTGAGTCTGTGCTGATGCTGTATCTGGTGTTAAATATTTTAATATCAAAATGCAATAAAAACTAGAAGTTCAAAGTCTAGAGAGGACACAATTAACATAAAATTGCAATAAAGTTTTCATTTTCTTTATGCTCAGAGTGAGTACACAACCCATTGAGAGTATGAAAGAGGGATTCTTCACCAACCCTCGGGTTGGTTCTTAGCAGAAAAAACCATCAGATATGCTCTGAAATCTAAACAGGAACTGAGGGGGCTGCAAACACGTGTAAGGCCAAGACATGCGAAAGCACGTGGAGTGTGTGCTGGGTGAAATGAACAGAGGATGTGAGACTAAGGGAAGGGGGCAAGGCCGCAGGTGCCAGATCGCAGGGCACCACCACTTCACAGTAGGGAAGCTGACCTAATACTATAGACACTCAGGAGCCACCTGCGGCTTAGTGAAATTACACACTTGCACCTTTAATTTTTATAAATCCCTTTACCTTGCATAGAGAATGGATTAGAAGAGAAAACCAGGTTCAGAGAAATGACTAAAAGACCACCATTTAGGTGACAGTTTATATGTATGAAATAGAGATCAATAAAAGTCAATAGATTGCACAAATTCTAGGAAGATGACTTTTTGTAGTAAATCATGACAGATTTCCTATGAGGAAAAACATATAAAAAGACCCAAAGATGAACATCCAGATTTGTATGATGGAGAAAAGTAATATTTACTGAGCTAAGAGGCAAAGAAAGAGGGGAAACTTTTACAGATGGAGATCCAGCAATTCTGGAAATGCAGAATTTAAGATGCCTAAGGGAGAGGCAAGTAGAGCTATCCAAACATCAGCAGGAAGGTTTGGTTAGAATCACTGCTGGAAACACATTTAAGATTCATCAGCACATACAGAGTGTTTGCTCTACGGGTGTGCGGGAGAGGTCACCCAATAAAAGGTGTTTGTGGAAAGATAAATGGGATAGGACCCTGGACAGCACCATTATTTAAGGGATAGACAAAAAGGCAAAAAGAGACACAAGAAAAAAAAAATCAAAAGATGGCAGGAAAGCTGTAAAGGCATGACCTCAGGACAGCGGAAGGAAGAAGGTCTAAGAGTGTCACAGCCAGGACCGGTGGCACACAGCTGTAAGCCCAGCACCTAGGAAGCTGAGGCAGGAGGATTGCTACAAGTGCAAGGCCAACCTCAGCTACATAGTGAGTTCAAAGCCAGCCTGGGTTACATGGCAATAACCTGTCTCAAACAATAGCAACTTGAGAGTTGTGAACAGAACAATAGTGGCAATGTAGCAGAGATAAGTAAAGGAATGAAAATCAAGTGCACCAAGTTAACAATAAAAGATGTTGCTAAACTCTGGAATGATGCTAAACCTACAGAAAATCTGTGTTGACAGAATGAAACACATCATGTCAGAGTAACAGCAATGGGGGCTAAGAAAGATGTCTGTAGGCAATAGGTGCGGAGGAAGCAGAGGCAGCAGGTGGTCTCCTGTTCTCAGCTGAGATGTAGGAAGTAAGAACTTCAGATGTGGGAATATGAAGAGACTGTGAAATGGACCAAAGGAGAGCAGGAAAAATTTTAAACACATTCCATTAGAAATGAGAAAGAGTTAATTTTGAAGTGTAGAATAATCGTCAAGGATCTTAAGAGAACTGAAGAACACATCATTTCTGACCTACTCCTAATTGCCCCCCAGGGCTTCTAATCCCTATCTTCTACAGTAATAAATAGTCATTTGGTTGTGTTCATGGGCACCACACACCCCTGCCTCATCCAGCTGCAGAGCTGTGATGAAAACTCAAGCACCCTGTACCTACTGGCCAAAGTCAAGTGAAGAAGACATCACTCCCAACCACCAGCCAGGAGGTAGAGCAGAAAGAAAAGGGACAGGAACTTATGACTGCTGCTAGGTGTGTTAGTTGATGCATTGTGTCAACTTGGCTGAATCAGCTCGGGCAGATCTCAGCGTGGGAGCCTCGCCCTGCAGGTGGGCAGGGTCCAGGAATTGAGAAAGGCAGGAAGTCGCCCTGCCTGTTTTCCTTCCGCCTGGTCCTGCTTCCCTGGAGAAGTCTCAGTCATTGGAGGAGCTTGAAGGCAGCCGCACCACTTTGGAGGAGCTCAGATCTTCACTGTGGAGCGCTGGTCTTCACAGTCAGCACAGAAGGAAGAGAGAGGCTTGATGGACGCCGCTGCAGCTGCTGCTCCTCCTCTGCTCTTCATTGTTTTCTGCTGCATGAACTGCTGTTTGCCTTGGAGCCAGCGGAATATGGACTGAACCTCCAGTAACTGTGAGCTAAATAAACCTTTCCTTCCTTCATTTTGAGTGTTGAGTATTTGACCCAGCAACGAATAAACAGTAACTAAGACACTAGGCCATGGGCGGAACAGATGATCTGGGAGAATTATCAAACCAGAAAAGGAACAGATGAAGGTCATTTGGAGAGGACAGATTTTTTGTCATCCTTTATGGAGATCTCCCTTGACAAAACAATCACTTAGCAGAAATCAGTAGACTGTAACAAATGTGCAGGAATATGCAGGAATTTTACAAAGTTCAACAAAAGAAGCATGATAGACAGATAGGCAGGCAGACAGACAGACACACACACACAAATACAAGCATTACACAAAATTCCATTTATATAAGCTAGCATTAACTTACAATGTTAAGGTCAGCCATGAAAATTATGACTTGGCAGGGATTGAGCAAGAGGGAAAATTCTGTAAATGACTCCTGTTTGAGGTCTTCTCTGTGTGCTGATCCTGTGGGTGTGTCTAGTTTTATGTTCTCAAGACTGCAATTTGTAGTGTGTTCATGTTTCAGTACGCCTATCGTACTTCAAAAACTGAGTTGTAACCTAACTTACTAAAAATATATGTGAATTTATGAGACAGCAAGCTTTATAAGTGTTTGAAATAAAGGTAACACTGTTGACAAGCATGAGATAAGACCTACTACAACCTGGGAGTCTTTGTTTCACAACAGTACGAGCTTGGTGGACAACTGACTTAAATATGTACAGTGCTTGAGCTGCAATTGCCTTTTGAGAAGTTCATTCTAAGAAAGTCAGCAATATAAGCTTTATGCAAATATGTTCAATACATTATTCATAAGGTGGAAAATTTTAGGAGGGACAGAAATATTCCCCAATGAAGAAATAATTATATAAATTCATATAAGCTCATGATTTGATATGTCAGTAACTTTCAGAATTCTGAGACGGGACTAAAAAAGTGAATTTTTAATGCTATTCCAAATACATATAAAAATGTCAAAATGTGTTTATGTCTGGGTAGAAGGATTTTGTTTTTGGTTTAAAATACTGTATATTTTCTGGATTTTCTAGGAAGAGCATGAAAGCCAGGGAGATAACTCAGTAGTATAAGCGTCTGCTTGGCAAGGGCAAGGTCCTGAGTTCAAACCCCGGTACCAAAAAAACCAACCAAGCAACAACAACAACAACAACAACAAAAACAAAACCCACTAACTTAAGGGCCAGTCAAATAGCTCAGTGGATTAAAATGCCTGCAAGCAGACACAGGGCTCAGGGTTTCCATCCCTGGGCCTGCCTTGATGGCCCCACCCCTGGGGCAACACCCTGAGACAGCAATTGAGACTGGGTGTGGTGGCATGTGCCTGTAATCCCAGCTCTTGGGAGGTTGTAAACAGGCAGAAGTGAGACCCTGAACACGCTGATCTAGAAGTGAGACCCTGAACACGCTGAAGAGCCTTACCTAAAATACAAAAAATAAAGCATGAAATATTTTATTGATCATGAGTTTAAAAGAAAATCATGAGTGGCACGGTTGTATTTGCTTTTATCCTGGAGTTTCCTAGATTGCTTTATAGCACACCTAACAATTACATCCTGCAGCATAAGAATTTGATGAAACATTTGACGGTGATGTGAAGGAACAAAGTGTCTCTAAATCAACATAACTTTCATCCTTCTTGACTCCCTGGGAACAAAGAAGAAGTTCTTAAAATACTAAGTCAAAAAAGTAAGAAGCCCTCATCTGTCATCTATGGATTTGCCAAACCATTAAATAAGCACCATGCAGTGCTGAACCTGTCGGCTCGTATGCAAAAGTAAAAATAAAGTCATTCTAAGCATGAGCCATGGCTTAGCCACATGCCCCTCTCATCTGGCTAGGCTGCACAGGGCAGAAGGTCAGAGGGTGATGTGAGCTGATGGGCTGGGGACCCTGTCGGGAGAGGAAAGAAGAGCAGAAGTATAGACTTGGGTTCAGCCTCAGGGCTGCTGCTCCAAGTACAGAGCTACTACTTTGATCTTCTTCCAACTGCTTTCCCTTTTCCCCCTTGATTCCAAGCTAAAGAGGTGAAATCCAGCAATGACAAAGGGGAATCGACACCTGGGGGTAATAACTTAGCTGGCTCACCAGGGAACCAGAGCCCTGTTTGAAGTGGACTGCAGGGGAGCCCCAGGAAAGCCTGGCGCAAGGAGGCTGGGGCCACAGGAGTAAGGGGGAGCCTTCAAGGGAAAGAAGAAAGCACATGATGGAGAGAAGGAGTTAAGAGCCTACTTCAGTGGAAAAATACAGAGAACTTGGTTCTAGCAAGGGACTCTTCCTGGTCAAGTTGAGACATTTGCTTTGTAAAAGCTTGCTAATTTTCATATTGGTTGATAATCTTTATAAGAGTGTGACCCAGAAAGAATTGTCTGATATTCTTCATCATACTCAATTTATAAAATAACACTTTCTCAAAGTAATGTCCTTTTCTATATTTCATCTTTAAATGATGCTGTTCACTCTAATGCTTACATCAATTTGAAGAGGACACAGAATGTAATTTATGTTTAACTAACACGATAACACATCCCTATGTCTAAAATGTATACTTTATTTCTTTCTGTAATGTATTGTAGTAGAAAGTTTGCAAGGATGCCAACTGCTTCCTACACTTAGTCAAGGTCAAGAATAAAGTCTTATCATCTCGAGAAAACAGTTAATGGGATGTGACAGATATCTGCAGCACAGAAAGGACTAAGGTTGTGATTGTCTTTATACATCTACGTTGCCTTTCTGCAAACCTGTCTGTCAAATACTAGCAAATTTACTGCATTAAATTTAATAGATACCCAGAGGCTGAACTGTCCCAAAAGTTTAAATGCTGTGTGTGTGTGTGTGTGTGTGTGTGTGTGTGTGTGTGTTAGCTAGTTGTTCAAAAATCCTGAAGAGAAGAACAGAACAGAAATTTTGTCGTAGGGACATGCAGAGCAGTGATGGCACTTCGCATAGCTTTTTTTTGGGGGGGGTGGTTTTAACACTGATGAAATTTTTATTTATTTATTTTTTTTCAAAGTTTTATTGATAAACAGATAGCAATGAGACAGTTTCAAATCAAATTGGAAGTACAGTTTCAACAAATAATACACTGCATATATTCTTCTAGTGGTTAATTGCTGTACAAGATGCGGACTTGTGATCCTATTTACAAACATCATTAGAACAAATCATTCTATTCATTAAGAGAATGCAACTATATATCTATCCTAACCATTTTGAATACATAGATACAAAATGGACATTCATCGGTATACCCATTTTTTCTAAGTTCCGTTATTGAATATTATAGGTGTGTAAACTCAGCAAAATATTCTAAAAGAGTCATAGCTTTTGATGGTACAAACAGCCCGCTGTGCCATGGGTGACCGAGGCACTCGACCACTGAGTTAAATGAAAGATTTTAGAAAAATTCCAGTCCCACTTCACTTTTGATCTCTAGACTATGGAACTATAACTTTGTACCTTTTAACCCATGTTTCTTTGTGTGCTTTTTTTCCATCCCTGGTTGCTACTTTATGTTCTATGCAGTCAGCCATTTTTATTTGTCAAGTTGTCTCATGCAAGAGAGATTACACAGCTTTTGTCTTTGCATAAGTGTTTGATTCAGCATAATGTCTTCCAATTTTAAGGACAAATAATATTCTTATATATGTTAGATTATTATTATGAATAATGATACTGTTAGAAAATGTTTAGAATATTATTCAGCTTTTTAAGAAGACTTTAATATTCTGTTTTCTAATATTAGAATTTTATTATAATATTCAAAAATAATCTACTTTAATATTAACATATTACATAGTATAATTTATATATTATATTTGTACGTCTCCCTCACGGGCAATTTATTGATTTATCAGTACTTCAGGTGTTTCCATAATATAGATGTTGTGAATAATGCTATGAAGGACACAGGAGTGCAGACAGTTTATAAGGTGCTAATGTCATCTGAGTACTGAGTAGACATTTAAAAAAATTATTTATTTTTATTTTATTTTATGTATTTGGTACAGGGTCTCACTGTGCAGCTCAGACTCATGGAGAGCCTACTGTTTGCAGTCTTCTCAGTGCTCAGATTACAGGTGTGCGCCACCACGGCTGGTCTCAGTGGCTGGCTCAGCGCACCCAGGGGTGGGGCCAGCTTGGCCTGTAGGATGGAACCCCGGTCCCTGTGCTTGCCTGAGCAGGTGCTTCGTCCCCTGAGCTATCTCACTGGCCCTTGAGTAGACATTTTAATGCATTGTGTCAAATGGGTCCAGGACGGGTTCCCATGTCTTCTTATCAATACAGCCTATAGTGTCTTCCTTCCCTGGCAGGAGCTAAGCTGTTTCCAAATGACCCGGAAGCTATGAAATCAGGACTTAGAGACCACTTCAATGCCAACTTCATAGCCCTTCCACTGAAACCCAGATGGGAACATGGATCTTGCATGGTCAAAGTCTAGTTAGTGGAAAGTAAACTCATTTTTTAATCTCAAAAAACAATTACAGTTACTGTCCACTAAAAATGACTACACACTTACAGAATCCCAACCAAAAGTAAGTCATTCATCAACAAAAGATGGAGGAGCAATGGCCTCCTCTCCAAGCATGACATGCACAATATGTTCAGTGATAACAATGAAAACTTGAGTAATAAATATTCTTTAGCCAAATCCAAACTGTAGCACTGATGGGAAAACTACAAAAGAACTCATGATACTCAGGGAAAATCTGCATAATTAATAAGTTGAAGACTGT